GTGGAAGGTCAGTTTGCCCCATCAAAACCAAGGGTGTTTTGAGCTGTGCTCTGCAGGTGTTAATGGTGATATAAATCTGGATTCCCACCTGCATCTTCTGTACAGTCTTGGTCATTTCAGAACCAATGTCCTTACCATCAGCAGAAATCACTCACATTTATCTGCACCAACCCTGCAACAGGGCTGTGTTTCCAATGAGTCAGCAATTTGCTCAGCCATGCCAAGCAGGCATGGGCTTGTAATCAGGTATCACTGGGGAAAGCCTTAATAATTGATAGCACTTCCCATCCTGATAATGCTCTCAGGAAGGACCAGGCCTCAGAGCAGCACAACTGAGAAGCAGCAACCAATCTCATGGCACAGACAGAACATGGGGCAGAAGGAAGCCCTGTCACCTGGAGAGCTCAGGCTGCCCAATTTCCAGCCCAAGAATGTTACATATTCCTCCCTGCCAGAGCAATGTGGAGCAAGGCTGTGAGGAGCTGGTGGCAGAGCCGGCAGAGGGAGCCCCAAGTATAGCACTAATGGGAAAAAAAAAACGGGAAAATTTGACAAAGACTGCACAGAGTCGATGTAGAGCTGGGGAGGTCACACAAAGTGCAGCCTCCGCAGCAGGCCGAGTGTGCCGCGTCGCTTATTAGATGCTGGATCTAATTTTTAATTGACTGTTCTCTGTTCTGGTTTTGTTGGGATCCCCCATCCCCAGCAGCAAATAAAAGCAGATGGAGGAAAATTTTGAAAAAGGGATTTTTGTCAAATTAACAATAGGTCATTAGCCAAAAAGAGGGTCTTTCTTTGCAGTGCCAGGGTCAGCACTGGATGGCCCAAGCAGCACTGCCTGAGCAGCCCCTTCCCCGAGGCAAGGTCTGCACTGGGTCTTGTGGGTTGTTGTGGGTTTTTTTTAAATCTAGAGTGGGGAGAAGATTGAGGGAGAAAAAGGAAGAGCAGATTATCTTACTCCTTCACAAAACCCACACACCCAGCTCCAAATCAGTAACACAGATGATGTGCGTACAGCTTTAGGTACACTCTTATATCCTTCCACATTTGTAGGACATGAGGAGATAAAGTTGAGTACAGGAATGAATGCAAATAACTCATCCTCAGGAAGTGCAGATCTGGTGCCTGCTGGTACCCCTGACACCCACAGAGACACCCCCTCTGCTGACCAGGATCAGGGCATGGGTGGGCACAGTCAGCACTGCAGCCTCTTCTGCTGCAGACACTGGTGCAGAAATTGCCCAGAAACACCAGATCTGATGAGCTCTGCCTCTCTGCCAGCTAGGACAAAAACACCGCAATATTTTTAAATTATTGCCCCTTTCTAAGCTCCTGGATAAGTAGAATTGCATTTCAGCCTGGAAATCTTCATGAGAATTTGGATCTTCAAGTGCTAAAGTGGGGGTTGTGCAGGCAGCCTCCTAACACTGCTCCTCCGGGATCTCTCCCTGCTGGGGAGATGGGAAAGCAATTAGTTTTTCCCTCTGCCCTCCCATAAGCTGTTCAAGCACAGGTGCTTTGACATTTCCACTGTGTGAGTGAGAGACAGTCAAAGAAATGATTAAGTAAAACAAACAAGGCAAAATTATAAAAAGTGGGCAATATTAATTAGCTGCTGCCAGGTCTTTCCAGCACGTTATCTGGGGTAATAACAGTCACTTTATGTCAGCGCCAGTGCAGTGTGTGTGTTTCCAGGTAAACAGCAGTTGAACAAAAGCTCCTTAACAGCCAGTGTTGTGTATTTCTGTAAGTGCAGAGAACAATAGAGCACTGATTTCCAAGAGAGAGTGCAGAATAAAGGCTCTGCACTGCAGCCTGGGTTAAATAACACAGCCTTTATTGACTTCCTTGAGAAGAGGAGCAGCTCAAACCTTGCTCCACATTTTCATTTTGCTCTTAAGGGAAAGATTTGGGGTACTCAAGGCATAAAAACGCAGGTGAAGAGAATGAGAGCAGAAGTCTGCTGAATGAAGATGGCAAAAAACTGGAGACAGAGGAGACAGGTAAAGTCTGCACAAGAGGAGAGTTACCTGTGAAGCTGTGGCAGGTTTTGGAGTGGTTGTTGCACTGGCAGGGCTCACAGGTGGTTTTGTTAAACCTGTAGTATCCATCACTGCACTGGTCACACTTCAGGCCTGTGACACCAACTTTACACTGGCACTTCCCAGAGCTGCACAGAGAGAGACCAACACTGAAATGTGGATGTGCAGAGAGAGAGGCATCCCAAGTACAAACCTCTGGTCAGTGCTTTGGACTCTATCTCCAAAGCAGGGAACTCTGCACAGAAACACCTGCTGGAAAAGGGACACAAAACAATTTCCAGTGATGAGGAAAAAAGAAAGGCTGAGTCTCAGCAAAACCAGTTGCCCTGACAACACTTCCAGCTGGGCACCAGAAATCAACACTCATTCTGGAAAGCCTTGGCCCAAAGCCACCCCTATGCATCAGCCCCCTGCAGACGCTCCAACAGCCCCTCCTGGTCCCAGCTTCATCAAGCACTTGCACCAGTCCCTCCTGCAGGACCCTGGGACACCAGTGATCAAAGCACCTGAAAGATGAACTAGCACCCACATGAGTAATCATCCCCTCTCCACATCAGCATTGAGCAGCACCTCCCAGATTTTGGGGTGAGCAGACAATTCCCTGTGCAGTGCCTGCCCACCCACCCCCCAGAGCTGGTGCAGAGTTCAGGTGTTCCCCTGGGTTTCAAGCCAGGCAGGTACCAGCCACCTGCACTCCCTCCCCTGCTCCTCCATCATCCTGTTTGTCTTTTCCACATGACATCCCCACAGCCAGCTGGACTAAGCCCCTCTCCCCAGTCAGCTCCAACCCA